CCTCTTTCAACTTCTCCCTAGGATTGTAATGAGGATGAAACAATTGATTCATGTTATTGCTTTTGCAATGGATTATAGAAACACACATTTTAAGGAGATATCAAGATGTGCCAGGGGCTCTTAAAATTTCATATTTCCCACAGAACTTTTACCTAGGAAGCTTGCTACAAATGCAGATTCCTAAGATCCACTTTTAGACCTGATTATCTGGGAGTGTCCCTGGGAAAGCCACATTCATAATGATGAACCTAAGTGACTTTTATACACATGAAAAACTAAGAGCCACAAAAAGAGAAATAGACAGAATATGGTCAGTATTAATTTAATTTAATTAGATATCTAATGTTTAATATTTAATTAACTATCTAATATATACATAGTTAAATTAGATATTTGATTTGATTAGATGTTTTGCTCATTTGTTGGAGTCTATGTGTATATTTATATATTGCATATTATAATTCAATGAAGGATCCCTCGGGTTTATACTGGGAATATAATCAGTTAATACTAGATTAAATAATAGATAATTTAAGTTGGCTCACTTTATTATCTGTATTGCCCTTATAAATTCATTGCTTTGCTTTATTTCAAATGTCTGCTGAAAAATACTGTAAGTAAAACAAAAAATGTTTTCACCTTGTGGATCCACGTGAGGCCGCATGAATAGTAGTAATTCAAACTTCTAGCTTTGCTAATTGTGCAGAACTCCCAACCTCCAAAGGAATCTCCACAAATATCTTGGGAATTTGCTGGGTGTCTCCTATGTACCCAGAAATCACCCTTCCAGTTGTAGTCCCCGTGTGGTACCTACAGTGTTCTTCCTTACCAGTTCCTGTCCCATGTTGAGCTTTCTTTCCCTCTGAGCTACCGGAGAGGTCCCACCCCTGCCACCGCTGACTGGTACCATGTGAGGGTTCCCAAGTCCTTGCTGGGAGTGATGCCTGTCACTGCTCCCTGAGCTGCCAGTCCTCACAGTGTCACAGTAGTGGTGGGCTCAGCAAGGGAGTGTAGACACTGGTTCTCTTCTCTGTTCTGTGATTCATCTGGTTCACTGGGGCAACTAGGGAAGGGGGAATTAGAGCATCTTTTCTCCTTGGAAGCCATCTGGAAAACAATGATTTCAGCTTTTGCCATAAAGGCTCAAAAATCAAAAGTCCTTTGAGGTAGAGTAGTACCATTTTGCCAGCTTCTGTTTGGCCTTGCATCCCTCTTTTCTCCAGGCATAAGCCCACACTGCCCCACTCTTCCTTACTCAAAAAGTAACATGTTAGACTTCGCAATAAACTTTTGGCCGGGTTTGGGAAGTCCATATACTCCATCAGACACACCTCATCATTTTCAATAACGTTTAGGTAGGTTTAGCTGAACTCAACAGCCATATAATAGTGGTGGAAGTTAAAAGTGGATTATGTCCTCCCAAATAACTTTAAAGTAATAACAATAAAAGTCAAATACTCTAACAAAACTAAAGATGAAAGACAGCTCTCTACTTGCCCTGCTCTTCCTTCTCTGTCCTCATTTTCCACTGCCCGAAGCAATCACTTTCAAATTTTTGGAAATTTCTTCCGTTATTTAACTCCATATATATAAATAATATGCTTATACCGTCAACTCTTGATTTTTCAGTTTTGTATATTATATGCAAACTTTTTGCTATCAACAATGGTAATGTACCTTGCGGTCCCTTCCTATCACCACCTTCTAGAAGTGTACACCTCCCTGCCCTCCATTTTTCCAATAAACAGGGTGTCCCAAAAGTTGCCATACATGGGGAAAGTGGGAAATTGTAGCTAAATATACCTTTATTTACAAAATATTCATAACAAAATTTTATAAGTTTTTCCTTTGCATGGAGACTTTTGGGACACCTTTATTTCCATTCATATTGGTATTTCGTGTTTACACTATTATGATTATGTAACTATTCCCAGCTGTGCTATGCATTGAACATGAGGATTTTCTCTTCTTATGCATCTCTTTGTATTTTACTTCAAATTAATTTCCTCTTTTTTTTTTTTTAGTTTAGCATAGTTTTCTGTGTATCTATTACTAATTCAACCTTCAAATCCTACTAGAAAAATAAATATCCCCTTAATGTATTTTAAACTCATTGGATATTCTATCCATTCCATCCTCTAAAGTCATTTTGCCCAGAACGATATGGCCTATTCCAGTCTGGGCTGGCTGCTATCTCAGTCTGTTATATGCTTTTATTCTGAAATATCACTTCACTATAATTTTTGGGTTTCTATATCTAACATTGATTCCTTGTTTTCTCAATTTAATGTAGTCTTTTAAATACTCTCCCTTTTATAAGCACATTTAACAATGGAGGCATAGAAGGTAAATTTTTTTTAAGGATCTGACATGTCTCAGCATGTCTGTTACATGCCTTCACTTGGTTAAAATGTTGCTGGGTATAAAATTCGAGGATTAAACAAAACTTTCAGAATTTTGAAGTCATAGCTCCACTTTGGAGAAGGAACTTAAAGGTGGTCAATATTTTCATCATATATAAATGTACCTAATCCTTCTATTTTTCCCAGAGTACGTCTCTTTCCATAGTACCTGACATCCACAGTCCACAATCCTTTGGTTTATTTATGCTCTCCTAAAGGCAAAGGGAAGTCTGTAATCTAAGTGCTTCCTAAACATACTTTGACACAATCCTGCTGAAATCAATCCCTCACACTATGTTTAGAGAGCTTTATGGTGAAAGCACTACTGAGCCTTTGGCGGTGTACTTCACTGGGTTACTTCTCAGTTTCCCCTCCTGTTAAGTTAGGCTTAAAATGTCATGTTTGTTAAGTCAGCTAATGCTAACAAATAAGCCACTTTCTACTTTTATTCTTCTATCCTATTGCCTCCTTTCTATGGTTGTTGGTGTCTGCACTTTTGTTAGTTCATTTATTGTTAGCATAATGGAATTGAGAGGAAAGGGAAGCAATTTATGTATTCAATTTGCTATGCTATCTTGAATAGAAACACAGTAGAGCTTTCTGTCCTCAATTTTTGTTTTGAAATTTTTCAAAGCTATAGAAAATGTTTCAAATACAATGAACACTCTATATCTTCATATAGGTAAACCAATTGATAACAAATTGCAATATATTGTTATTGCCCCCCTCTGTGTATTTGTGTGTGTACATGTGTATATATGTATACACACACAAATAGATACATATATATATCATATATATATCATCTTTCTCTTTCTCTTTCACTCTCTCTCTCTTTCTCTTACTCTTACTCTTTGAGTAAGCCATTTGCAAGTTAAGTTGTAGACACAGGATACTTCATCCATAAATATTCCAGGATCTCCAAAGATCAAAGAACATTCCTTTGCATATCTATAATACTCTTATCACTGTCATATATTTAACATTAATGCAATATTATATAATATATAGACCCTATGTAGATTTTCTCAATTGTCGCAATAAATTCGTGTATGTTTTTTTTTTTTTCCTAATGCAGGAGTCAAAGACTCAACATTGCCCTATCTGCATAACGAATTTTAGCTTGAGTCACACACCCTTCTTTTATGTCTCTACTGATATTAACATTTTTAATGAATTCAGGCCAAGTTCTTTGTAAAATGTCCTACAATATAGATTTTTCTGATCATTGCCCTATGATTAGATTCAAGTTACATATTATTGACAATACTATGTAGGTGATATTATGTAGCTTTTAAAAGCAAAATTTTACTATTGTTTTCATAGGAGATAAACATTGTCTTATATTCTTTTATAATCTAAAAGCACATATTAAACCATAACAAAATACATAACATATATTCTATGGTTATATCTGTTTCAAATTATAATAAAAACAATAACTTTTGATTGGAAGCTAATTTTAGGATGCATTAAATAACCAACATGTGTCCATTTTTATACTCATTAAGCAAAGGTGGCTTTGTGATAAAAAATATTAGAATCCAATTTTCTCATGAAATGAAGAAATTGGAGTAGACTAATTTTTATATTCTTATCCAGCTCTCAAATTTTATGAATCTTTGAATAAGACATCACATGCAATTTTGAAAATAAAATAAATTTGAGGAGAGATAAAATTATAGAAAAAAATAGCTTATTAAAATGTTTATTCTTTGGCTGGCGCTGTGGCTCATGCCTGTAATCCTAGCTCTCTGGGAGGCCCAGGTGGGTGGATTGCTTGAGGTCAGGAGTTCGAAACCAGCCTGAGCAAGAGCGAGACCCCATCTCTACTATAAATAGAAAGAAATTAATTGGCCAACTAATGTATATAGAAAAAAATTAGCTGGGCATGGTGGTGCATGCCTGTAGTCCCAGCTAATCGGGATGCTGAGGCAGAAGGATTGCTTGAGCCCAGGAGTTTGAGGTTGCTGTGAGCTAAGCTGATGCCAGGGCACTCACTCTAGCCTGGGCAACAAAGCCAGACTCTGTCTCAAAAAAAAAAAATGTTTATTCTTTTATATAAATTGACAGTAGGCACATTAATTATAATTATTTATGTTTTCCTGTTTACAATTTACATATTACACCATTGTATGCTATCCAAATCTACATCAGTAATGGGTTACTTAAGTTTGGGTCACCTTACTCTACTTGCAGGTAACTAAATGTGTATAGATTGTTGTACTATAGAACCAAGGTTGCATGTTAAAAATCCACCGTATTAGTTGGGATTTATTTTAACGTACCTGGCAGCAAATAAAATCTAATATCTTCCATATTATAAAGAGGAAGATACTGCTACAAATTATATAGGCAGTTATTATATAACAGCTTCCATTTTAATAGATGTATAGTCTTTGTTTTTCATTTACTTTTATTGAATTAAATTGCTTTAAAGATAGAATAGTTACAGTAATGTCTTTTCATTTTTAATTGATTCTATTGAGTGAGAGTACATTTTCAAAATCATTATCAGCACAATTAGTACAATGCAAGCAACTGTAATTGTAAGGAACTTTTGAGTTGAGATGATGGTATTATATCTTTCTCTTTCAGGAAGCTCTGATCATGGCAAGTATGGACCATCCACATTTAGTCCGCTTATTGGGTGTGTGTCTGAGCCCAACCATCCAGCTGGTTACTCAGCTTATGCCCCATGGCTGCCTACTGGATTATGTTCATGAACACAAGGATAACATCGGATCACAGCTGCTGCTCAACTGGTGTGTCCAGATAGCTAAGGTAAGTGCCCATCACTTACTGTGGAAATGGCATTTCTGGGTTAATATCTCCTAATCTGGAACAGTTTGGATATGGAAAACATGCCAAAACTTTCAACCTATTTAAATAAAACAGATTATATCTGCTACATTGAAAGATACATGATAGGGAGATACTTTTATGAAACCATAGATTAAACATGTGATATGTATTTTTGGATTATTATAATGTGCCATTGTATTGTATTGACTAGATGCCCACATGAATAGCTTACTAGTCAGGGAAATATTGTTATCCTGGACTTGTTTGGCTTTTTGTTTGGCAGACCCTAACTAACAAACAAAATCCAAGAAAGAAAAGATTGAATGTCTGAATTGTTCCATATTTAGATGATTTTGAAAAATAGCCTATATGTTTAATTCTCAACATTACAAATGATCAAGTTCTAAATATTTTCCTAGTTTTTTTGATAATTTTCAATTGATCTTTAATGGTTGGGCTTTTGGTCTGATGCAGAGGCTCAGGCATGTAACATACAGAAGGGATGTCGTCAGGGGTGATATGGACGGTGGCTCTGTGGCAAACTAGACAACATCTGCCATCTGCTACCCTCCAGGGGAGACTGTAGTTTGGGGAATATTACCAGAATTATCTGGTCTTTCAATTTTTTTCCAGAGTACTCAGAATTCTGGATTTTTATGTGACTTCTCCAAATTTAAATCTTATCTCAAACTATTGAAGCACTTATGTATTAATAAAAAGTTAGCATTTGTATTAGTAAAAATTTAGCATTTGTTCTTAGACCATGCTGTACATGGGAGAGGAGGGAATCTAATCTTTAAAATTCAATATTTCTGACTGTTGGAAGAAAGAACGTGGGTCTCCCATCCTCATGTGCTTTCCTACACAGGTTCCTAAGATGTTTGTGCTCTTATCGTGGCCTCTAATTTTCATGTCAGAAGAATTGAATTGTTTGTAATATTGAAAACATGCAAAACCATCAGTGACCTGGCAAAGAGCTGAGGTTGGGGTAATTCTTAGAATAAGACAGTCTACTACTGAAGTAAAATGAAGAAAAAATTTTAACATTTCAATCTTAAGCTAGAAAAGGTTAATATTGTTTTGACTTCCTAGTATTGCAAGAATTTTAGTTCCTGACTCCTTTCTAAGGAAAATGTTATTTGTAGTTTTTTTTTTTTGTTGTTGCTGCTGTATTTGTAAATCCTGAATACTGAGTGTAGGTTGCTATTATTTTTAAAAATCCTGTAATCTTCCTCAGAGCTTTACATGTCTATTTTACTTTGTCAGATTTTCTTCTGGTGCTCTAATTGATTTGCAGCTTAATTCAAATGTAGGGTTCTAAGAGCTTTCTTTTTTCATGGTTTACCATAGAAACTATTTGAAGGGATGATTCGAAAGATATGTTAGTGGTTTGTTATTACCTTTCAAGATGATTCATAGATCATTACCCGATTAAGTTGTAAATTTACCCACCTTAAAATTCTTCCAAAAAGAAATAAAAGTAACAAAAATCATTCAATATTTTTAATAATTAAAGTTAATCTAGTTTGTTTAACCAAATAATTTAGGTTCTGGCTATAAATAAAGACTCTTTCACTAATATTTTTGCAAATAGATTGTTTTATGTTTTCTGAAGAAACTTGATTGTCTCAAAGGTTAGCATGATTTGGGGCCAGTTTAATAGATTTTCCTCATGTAATTTTTTTTCATTTATCACTCTATTTTGTTTATGACCAAATTATTTTTCTTGTCCATATCATATCCCTAATTGGAGCTAATGAAATATGATTTTTTTTGTGGCGCGTGGACAGGTATCTGTGGATCTTTTTTTTTTTTTTTTAATTTTGGTGGCAGAGCGGGAATTAGTGGGAAGGGCAAAGAGGAGAGAAGAATCTCCCTCATTTTAAAAACATAGTTCACAATGATTGGAAGGAGAGCAGATTCCTCTGTTAAGAAATGAATTCCTCTTATGTACACAGATGTGTACATCTGGGTACATTTGTCTTTCTTAAGGCTTGAATGGGTTACATGAGCAAAGCCTTTGCTTGCCTTCCTTTTCTCCTCTTTTCCATTTTTCTCTAGCAGTAACTATACTGAATGATAAGAAACATTAATTTCTCATTTGATCCAGTCATTTCCTTCTGCATAAATTAAAATAAGACAGAAATCTGAATATCTAATGTCATTTAAATCCACAAACCAGGTGCTGACATTTCTGATTTATTTCTGGTCAAGAGGAGACACTATGTGTAGATATGATCTCAGTCACACACCCATATATACAAATTGTAAAATTAAAAATAGACTAGAGATGAGACAGAACACTACTAACTTTATACAAAAAATGAAATTGGCACTTATTTTTACATTTAATAATATAATACATTTAATACCATTTGGAAGTCTGTGAATACCAATTGATTGAATGGGTTCCTTGGGCATATTTTGACACAGAAAAATTTTTGTATTTTATAAAGCAGCATAGAAGATAAGTATTTAACTTAAAAGTCGTAGTATTATTGGCAGAGCTAAACTCTATTTAATGACAATCCACAGTTAAAGTCAAAATAGAGAGATTATTTTTTGTAATTATATAACCACTTTTGGGAGAAAAAAGGATGATAGCTTATTAATTATTATTTTTACTCCTATTATTTAAATTAAAATGCATTATATAGTATGATAAATTGTCATAAGATCTTTTCTGAAAGTCAATGACATAAATCTGTCTCAGTGTTGAGATTTTATTCAGGGTAAACACCTTCATTTACTCTCCCAGGGTCACACAGCAAACTAGTCTAAAGATGAAGAACTAAACTCAGAAACATGGATAAGTCATTGACTGTTTTATAGACATGTTGTGTTTAATACATTTTTTTCATAAAAAAGGCAGGCTAATCAGTGAATTTTTGAAAGGTCTCAGTATATTTTTTAGAACCATGTCTTAACTAGAGATTTAAAAATTGAATCCCCAAGGAGAATTATCTACAGTTCTTGTTAAATTAGGAGGGATTTATTTATTAATTTAAACATCATATTAAATGTGTTAGGTTTTTCAAGATGAACAGAACCAATATGATACATATATAAAATATATAAATTATATTATATAAAGATATTTATTATAAAGAACTAGATCATGAGATTATAGAACCTGATGAGTCCCAAGATTTGCAGTCGTCAAGTTGGAGATTCAGGAGAGCCATTTCCATAGTTCTAGTCACAGTCTGATGGCCTGAGAACCAGGTGAGCTGATGGTATCATTCTAGTCTGAAAGCCAGTAGACTCCAGACCCAGAAAGAGCCAATGTTTCAACTTGAGTCCAAATGCAGGAGAAAACTGATGTCCCAGTTCAAAGGCAGTCAGGCAGGAGATTTTTCTCATACTTAGGAGTCACCTTTTATGTTCTATTTAGGCCTTCAACTGATTGAATAAGGCCTACCCACATCAGGGAGGGCAATCTGCTTTACTCAGTCTACCCAGAAACAGCCTCACAGACCACCCAGAATAATGTCAGAGCAATTGTCTGCACACCCTGTGACCCATCAAGTTGACTATAAAATTAACCATCACATTGAGTTATGATGTGGCAGGTACTATCTCAAGCTTTGGGAATTAAAGAAAAAGCAAAATTCTAAAATCCCCCTATCACAATTCTTATATTACACTTGGAAAGATGAAGCAAGTAAACCAAGTAACCAAGTAAACAAAGAGTGTTACTTCAGGTAGTACGAGATGAGAGACGGCACCACCCAGCAGTTTTTAGGGTTGGATTTAGAAGGTAGCAGTACCGGGTTCCAGTTTTAGCTCTACCAAGTCTCATCTATGATGACTTAGACAAATTCCTTAATGTCTCTAAGTCTGTTTCCTCAGCTATAAAATGAATATAAGCTTAATGCTCTTGTGATGATTAAATGTGATCATGCATCAGCTTTGCTCAATTGCTACCAGAGCTTCAATGCTCAATAGATGTTATTATATTGTTAAGCAAAGTAATATATATTTATTTAAATATATTATTTAATATTATTACCAAAATTAAGTAGCCAGAGCTTCAACAGAAAGATAGCATAATAGCATAAAGAACATGAACCATACAGAAATATAAATCTGGATTTGAGTCCTGGATCATAGTTATAAGACCTTCAAGAGTCATTTCTTCTTTTGTCAAATAAAAATACTTGCCCTGCATAAAATGCATCAAACCTATTTTTACCCAGTTTGAATTTGTAACCATATAAGAACAATTTTTACTAATCTAAAAAATCAGACAAAAGTTTCCATAGAACAATAATATATTATATATACATTATTTTATTTACTAGTACTCATAATTATATTCATGAATATAGTAAACATTTATTAAAACCTACTATTATAAAAGTGAAAGGAAATGAATTTCAGAATTAGAAAGATCTGGCTTTGAATCCCAACACTACCAGTCATTAGCTGTAAAATTTAGGGCAAGTTTCTTAAACTCTCTGAGCCTACTTATCTGAAAATTAGGGTAATATGTACTACATAAGATTGTTGTAACATTTAAATAAAATAATAAAATATGTCAATATCTTAATGTTGCTTAATATAGTATTGCTAGGTAATTAATGAATTTTTTAAAAAATTACACTGAGCAGTACTTTCAAAGCCATTCATTTCAGAAGAGGATTATTTTACCCTTCCATGAATAAAAGGTTCATTTGAGGTTTATTCCAAGACAAATTATGAGTCTGTTCCAGAGAACTTTGTTTTCATTATTTCCTCATGTTAGATATAAATATTTTCTGAGATACCAGATTCAAGGAATATTACATTATTTTTTTTTTCCAAATTATAATTATCCATAGTATCAGAGAGTAGAATGGTGGTTACCAAGGGGTTTGGGGTAGGGGTAAAGAGGAGATGTTGACCAATTATACAATGAATAATTCTGGAGAATTAATGTCCAGAATGGAGACTATAGCTAACGATGATGTATAATATATTTGAAATTTGTTAAAAGA